ACTTCCATATACTTTTAAACAGCACCCTTTATAATAAAATTGTAAAAGAGGACTACTGCGTCTTCAAGATATACTTGAATGTAAAATAAGATTTGAAAATTTTGGTTAAGTTTCAGTTCCTAGCTCTCCTTCAGTGTTCCTTATTTTCGTTGAGGTGCGTGATTTTTTTTCCCCCTGCTGCATTTAATGGAGTGAGACATTTTTCCTTTGAACGTTCGATTAGAATGTCATCTCTGTTGTAACAAAAGTTCGCAAATATGCTACCGTATGTCAGTTGTAGTAAAAATTGATAAATTTTTTAACCTTTAAAACGATGTACCCTGGCAAAAGACGAAGCTGTTGCGAATCCAGCTAAATACAGAGTGATCCATAAATTCCTGAAATTTAAGAAATTGTACTTCAGCGAAATCTTAGTATACAACAGAGCCATTGGCACATAAATGTATAAGATAGTAACGTGTTTTTAAACGAATTTTATCATGTAATGTTTTTTACTGAATTTATGTTCGCAGAAAGCTCTTCATACATAAAAACACAATATACCTCATAATAAAGGTTGATTATGGCAATCATCATCATTGGCAATTACCCGAAGACGAGTTAATATGTGTATGGGCAGCAGGAATAGCATTTCTATATAAATCACTAATGTACTCTGTGATACTGTCTCGTACCATCTTATTGTGTAGTAACCAGTAACGCTAAATGCTTAGCTTCATAAGTCAAAAGGTAGATGTTTTAAAATCTGGAGATCAAGATGGTCCTTTATATTTGAAAGCGACAATTTATTACTCAATCTTAGACAAACGTTAAGAGTAAGTGAGCATCAATATTGAAGGATTCTCCATTCTGGCAGAATGTCATAAAATCCAAAGCTTGCTCTTTTTCTCAGGATACGGTGCCGTGCCATATGATACTATTGCTGCCGTTAGACCTTGCCGGTCTTGTGATGCCATCTACATTTGTTAAGAACTCTTTTGCTGGGGGCAATTAAAGCAAATGTATTCACGTTATAAGGCTACCAGCATTATGATGAAGATTATTTGCTCCTTATTATAATACTTTCATCGAATAAAAAGGTCGTGTACTTAATACTAAATTGTCAAAAACTATTTTGTGTGCATATAAATTATCAGTTATGCATCCACAAAACAACGGAAAATAGGGAATGGCAAAATATAACAGATAGAATATCTAAAGAATATTTCTTTCAGCTATATATATGTATAGATAAGTAGATCAAAATGTCATTATCTACATATATTTCATAAAACCATATTTCAAAAATTTTTCGAATCCTTCAGCTTCTTTTCAACGCAATTATTTTTGGAAAGTTTTAAATTTTTGGACGAGGACAATTACACCGCTTCAGCGGAATCCTCATTTTAAGCTTCGAGTCACAACCTCAACGTATTTTACACATTTTCAACGCATGCTGGTGAGCAAGTACGTGTTTTTATTTGTGTTCGCTTTCTAATTCATTAGACGGTAAAATTTCTTTGAGGCTTAATTTATTTTGTTGTCAAATTCATAATGCCAGTACCACATTATTTACCTATTGCTTAACGATAGCATAATATCTGAAACTGTGCTGTATGAAGCTCAATCGGCTCGTACTGTATATTTATGGAAGGCACAACGACGAAGAATCGTGTGTCATGAGTTTAATTTTATGATGACACCATTCATTGGCTACATTTCTTTTAGGAAACGGATTATTGTCAACGATGAGAATCGGGTAATTGTCTCAGCTCGACTTTATATTACTTTTGTTGTTGAGAAGAGGAAGGGTGAGAGTTTCCTTTTCATTGCGGGATTCTTATCTCAGTTGATAACTGAGGCCCAACGAGGGAGCGCAGATCTAGAAAGGACGGAGGGTCGGAAGTAACGAGATTTGGAATGCAGTCCAACAGAAAAAAAAAAAAACAGAAGAAAGTTCAAAACAATTAGATATTCGCGACGGGTGAATGGGAAGCGAGCTTGCTTGGGGCACGGAGAATGGAAAGAAAAATAAAACGCACAGGAAACGAGAAAGATTTTCCTTTCATAATCTGGTGGGTGACGAAAGAGTTGTTTTTCTGGAAAGCGATTTTTTTATTTCCGAGACTATAAAACAAAACGTTAGCAAACGAAATGAAACGTTATCAACCTTTCTAAAAGTGAAATATAGTAATTTTCGAATATAAAATGAAGCAAGAACGCAATTTTTTAATGTGTCAAAAATGTTACAATTTATCAGAAAGCATAAATGTTTCATAACATTTTATATTATATGAACGATATACAGATATAATATACAGATTTAATTTATTTTTAGCCCAAAGGGCAATTTACCCAGAAGGGCTATTAATTTCGTTTTGGCATTTTTCGATAATTCACTATAAACTGTGAATCACTTTTAAATGGTTGCCACCAAATATTAGAGCCCTGTATTATATTTAAAGCAATTAAATAATGAAGAATCTGCATAAATGTATGTATGTTTCTCGCATTGTGATAAAACAACGATACCTAGAGCCATCAAATTTTGAATAACGTAATCCTCCACCCGAATATGGGCATTTGAAAACCCAAATTTGGAATTTGAAATTTTGTTTTATTATCTATTTCATATTTTGTAAAGCATTTATGAGTTTTTGATTAAGAAATTCAACGATTTCAAAGCGAGCAATGGCAACACTGTACGGGGGAAAAATTATCTCCAGCACGCGAGATTGTATTGGAAATTCTAAAGATATGCTCTTTTAAATATTTTGTGATATTGCTGTTGAATTGAATTTTATGGTTCAAATGCGAAGACATGATATTTAATAAATAAAGGTAACACACAAATCGTTAAAAAAATGCCCTTTTGGGCGTAATATAAAATCTGAAAGCTTTCAATTTATCTTAATATTTTTTGTATTATTAAGTTTTACAGAATTTTATATCGTTATCCCACACGTAAATAAATCTTAACTATATAATAAACACTTAATATGCCATATTTTATAGTTATATCAAAGTTCATGAACAGAGCTCTGATGCATTACTTATCATTATATTCATAAAATAATCACTTTAAAAGGTCACTTTAAATGGTAATTGTCATTTCAAATGGTAATAAACTAAAAGCAAGCTAGTGAGTAAGCTAAAAGCAAGGACAGCATTTCAGCATATAAAGACCATTCAAAACTAATAACAGAAAAATGATGGACATGTTTTTATATGCTGAAACTACATTCAAAAATGTAAAGAAAATTTATAACTATTATTAATATTCAAGGTCACATTTCCTACATAGTCTTTTCCAAGCGAGATTCAATCTTTTGGGTTAACATGCCCTTATCCATCAGCTAATAGATTGTCTATATATTTCGCGGCAAATAAACACACCCTCTTCAGGTCATTTCTCTCCAACGGACATCCAGGACGTTAATTTAAAAGGAGGTAGGTAATTGGCCCCTAAAATTGTATTTCTTTAGTTAGCGATAACATGAACTTATTTCCGTGAAAAACGTTATTTATTTTCATATTTATAAAGTTAAATATCATTTCAATATTTTCATACTTCTAAAGAGACTGAAGTATAAATCTTAAGTTTTCATTTCCTTTATTATGAACTAAATAGGTTCTTTATCTCTTTTTCCTCTTTTATTAGCATTTAATTTCCTACTCACGCTAAACTACCGTGAAACCATTTTATTTTTAAATTCTTAAAATGCATTGTTAATTATTTTGTGAAATTAAGCATGAAGAACGATATTTTTACAGCTCGCACTCTGACGTTTTAAAAATATCAAGAAGATAGAGGAATATGATGTTATAATGATAAATAAATGTTACTAAAGAACTTCAATGTTTCACATTCGATGCATTTTGTATGTTTTACATTCAAAGGGATTATTTTGGTATTAGAACCATTTAAAAATCATATAAATCATAAAAATATCCTTTTGAAACATGAAATCTTTTTTAAATCCATAAGTATTTATTTGTTAATTCAGGTATTAAAAAAGAATACGAACTTACCAGTTCCATAAACGAAGAAATGTTTGATAATAATTTGAAAAATAATAAAATAAAAATAGTTCTTGTACATTACCGTATGTATACTGCAAGGACCAAAGATTGACTTTCGCTCCTACACACATTTACCAACTTAATAATAATAAGAGGAATAATATGTTACTTAAATTTGATCGTGACTATTATTGCCAAGTTTATAACTGAATGTCGATCTTAGATTCGTTTAATCACATATCATGCTGTTTTCGACAGTTATGGGTGCATTAGAAATTTAACACGTATGTTCAGATTGTTGAATTTTACTCGGTAATATGCCACTCATATAATAAAATATAATTTATTGCTAAGTAAAAACGTGATAATTCCATGGTGTTACAGTAAAGCAGAAATCTAAATTTCATGTTTCATTAAATTAGAAATAAGGTGCCTCGGTTACAGTTAAATAACGATTCTTTATTAAACCAGCACATAATTTAATAACGATAAAAATACCTTTTTTAATCATGCTTACATTTAGGATAAGACTCACATAAGTCTTCAACACTATGACACCATTATGAATCTGTTAAAGGTTTTTCTTCTGGCGTCTTTCACTTTAAAAGATTTTTCATATCTTCCTTTGCAAAGTTTGTAGAAAGCCTCGTTAAAATTGCTGAACTTTGAATTAAGGAGCTATTTTGATTCAATGTTACTGATTATACATGAAATCAATTTTATATATATATACAGAGAGAGGAAAAAAGGAATGATTATTAAGGAAAACAATCAGCTTACTTGGCTAACTTTTTTGGCTAGCTTATTTGGCTAAATCTGTGAATTTTAATTGGATGAATTTTTTGTCCAGTTTAGTTTACATCACTAGAGTTACCTCTATTATAATTTAGAATATATATGTATTGATATATAAACTAATGCATTTTGCTTTTAATTTGTACATTTTCAGCACATGTTAATTTCGAAATTTAACATCTATCAACTAAAAATTAACTTGCCAGGCTCGTTGACTAAGTTGACCAGGGATGGCACGACGTTTCTAGGAACACAACAACTCCACAGTAGTCCACCATTGCACAAATCTACAGGACGCTGACCTTGAAAAATACACCCCAAACCAATGTTACAAGAATACCTAGTACCTTCGAAATGGCAGCTGGATGGCAAGGCTGAAAAAAATTAAATTAATTAAAGAAGCGAACAAGAAACTAATTTGCAATATTAACTTAATATAAAAAAGACGAAAATAATTATGGGTGTAAAATGAAAATTTTCTGACAACTAAATAAAATTCAGTTGTTGGATGACTCTTTAAAATGTGATTAAAGCTTTAAAATAATAAAAATCTTATTCTTTTAAGTTGGTAATAACTTAAAAACGTTTTCCCTCTTTTTTATTAATTAGGTTTTTTGAAGAAAGTTGTTGAAGTGATCGTCGTAAGGGGCCTCAAAACACTGGTTTGCCCAGCGACCTACAATGCTGTTAAAATGGGACTGACTACAAGACACATAAAGAGATTTCCAGTTTATTAAGAACCTCTCACCTCCTAGTCATTACAATCAAGCAGAATGTCACAAGCTAAAAGCAGTTTTTAAATAAATTCTTATAAATAAAGTAGAATATTGTTTTTACTTACCACAAAGCATATTGATGAAGTTCAGTTATTCTTCGTATCTTGCTGATGCCCAAAATAATAAAAAATAGAAATAGCTCGGTTACTTACCTTAAAAACACGCCTTAAAAATCGTAACTTTCTGAATTTGCAATAATGAGTTTAGTTGCCTTCAGTTATCACGCGGGTGAACGTAATAATTGCTTTCACTTACCATTTGAATAGCTGAATACACAAAGAGCCACGTTAAACTTTTGAGCGTTATGCCAGCTAAAAAAAGGTATGCTGATGCGGGAAATGCACGTTTGACTAATGGCAAAACAAACGGTTGTAATAGTTTGATAAAAATTAAATGTAACTTAATGCTTCTTATAACAGGATGAGTGTATTTTATTCATGACTTGATTTATAGCCTCTAATAAATAATATCCGTGGGATATAAGCATCTACAAGATGTTGTAAAAACAAATTGGGAGATTAAATACCTTATAAAACTTTGGTTGTAGTATTATGCTTCTAGTTCAAGAAAGGAATCAGAAAAAGTTGATTTAGACCAAAATAATCTTGATAACGCGACATCTTTTAGCACAAAATCACTGAAATTAAAATATATAAACGGGCGCTCCATGAAGAAAGACTCAAGTAATAAGTCATTCGTTATCGCGTGAAACATTTTTAAATAAAGGGAATCCAGTCTGTGATATGAATAACCTCTTCACTGAAAAAAACATGTTAAAACCGTATGTGAACTACTTTCACCCACAAAAAAGGACGCCGATTCAGGGGTCCTGTGACATTAAATTTTTACGGGCATAAACATTCTGGTGTCATAGAAGAATTAATACTTATTGATTAATAAAACTGCCTGACTGTAAAACTGTAATTTAGAAAGCTGTTTTTCGGTCACAGCTCAGAAACAAAAATATTTATTAATAATTTTCAAAGTTCCCCTCGGTACACCCCGCCTGAAGTTATCTCATCGTGTTGTTCTATAGGGATTTAATACATATCTGCACAAAAATAAACGCAAGGTATAAACCTACTCATGATGATTCACTAACTTTCAATTATTATCCCTAATGATTTTAAATCTTACGCTGCAAATATGTTAATCTAGAAGCTGAGAAGTTAAAAAGTGCTGATTTATATTTATAAAATTTCTGACACAATTACTTCCACATTCTATAATTTGTGATGCAGATCAATTAGATCATTTTGAGTATAACAGATTAGGGTGTGACTGCTACTATGAGTGAAGACTAAAATGATATTAACATATTTTAGGAGTGCAGAACTGCCTGAAGCTCTGTAATACAAATAATCTCTGACACAGACATACAGGGATTATTTACAGTCATAAAGTGATTATTCTGAGAGTTTTTAACCAGGTAAGTGACAAATATTTACTTTGAATTTGTGCATTGATTATAACTGGTTGAAAATATAAAATGAATTCTTTCTAAAAATGTTTATTAAAAATTTTGTAAAACATTTTTATAATTAAAAAAAAATTGTTTGTGAATTGAAACAATTTATGAATTTCATCGATAGTGATGATGCTTCCTCGATTTGTCGGGCTTCTTTTTTAAAGTAATGCTTTTAACCTGAAGGTAGAATAAGATAACACTGAGTTGAATAAAATTTCTTGTTTTCAGCAAAGACACATCTTAGACACCCAGACAGAACAAGGTATAAGCCAAACTTTCATAGTGAATATAAATCATAAAAGAAGATGTTTTACAATACATCTCACTTAATTTTTGAAAGAATAATGAAATTTCATAAAACATGAAAAGCGAATGTAATATTTTCTGTTCCTAAAGACAACTGATAAAGAAATACCTTAGAATGTTTTGAATGAAGCCAAATTCATAGTGTATGCTATACTCAAATGCACAATCCGCACAGTACAAAACGTGAAAGTAAACAAATTTAATCGTTATTTAAATTTCTAAAGTTTAAAATCCCACGAGTCCCTGAAAAGTTACTGTTTATTTTGTCATTAGAAAATTATTTTAATGTTTTATATAACGTGCGTTTCCCATGCCATACCTTGTTGAAAATGAGAAATCATCTTTTAAATTTTAAATTAAATTCAGCTAAATTTCATAATGAGTGAAATTCGAAATTTATTATGTAAATTACTACTATTACTATTGAAAAAAATTGTCAATATTATCTCCGATATAACTGTTACGTTTAATACAATCACAAAATGTAACTTAACTATTCCTATAATTGGACGACGGTATTTGACTTATGACTTGATTTAAAGCATCTAACATAAAATTCATAAATATCTATTTGTAATTTTTTAATTCCGTGAAAATAAACAAGATATTTGCGGAAAAACTGTGAAAGATTAAATATCTTACTAACAATTAGTTGCAGTCCTGTGCTTGCAGTTCAAGAAATGAATTACATAAGGTAGACTTTGGACCCGAATAATATTGGTAACCTAACACATTTTAGCAAAATAATCTCTGAAATTAAAATTTTTAAATGGACCATTTATGAAAAAAGACCCAAGTAATAACTCATTCGTTATCGCGCTAAAGACTTTTAAAGAGAAGGGGGAACAGTCTGTCGTATGGCAAAACTTTCGCTGAAAAACAATTGCCAAAACCATACATAAACTACTTCACCTGAAGAAAAGGACGTCAGTTCAGAACCCCTATGGCATTAAACTCCTATAAACAGAATTTATCCACTATAAGGATGCTAATGTCACAAAAGAAGTATAACTCGTTGATTAGTAACAGAGATTGCCTGTAAAAGCGGAATTGAGTTATATTTCAATGATTACTCTGGAAGCAAAAACCAAAAAAATTTTTAGTAATAATTTAAAACCCGTCTGAAATTAACTCCGTCTGAAATTATCTCATTGTGTAGCGCTACAGGGTTTTGCTATACACTTGCACAAAAATAAACGCAAGACGTAAACTTACGCGAAATGTTTCACTAACTCTCCATTATTAACCTTAATGGTTCGAAATCTTACACTGCATAAATCTTATTTTAGAAATGCAAGGTTAAAAATTCATGAATTTTGTATGTTATCCTTCTGGTAGAATTAATCCTACAATCAGTAACTTTTTATTCAGACTCATTAGGTCTTTTTGAGTATATGACATTTGTATAATACTGCTGCTATGATTTTAGAGTAAAATAATTTAACATATTTCAGAGTATCGAACAGCCTTATTGACGAGACTTACAGATTATTCTGTGTTTTTCTAACAAAGTAAGTGATCTTCATGTTGAATTTGTACATAGATTAAAATTATGCCGAAAATGTAAAATGTACTTAAAGTATTTTCTTTTTCATTTAATTTAGAAACTTGATATTCAGAAATGTAATTCGAAAGAAATAGTAAATATTAGCTTCAATCCTCTTTTCCCCGAAAAAACAAAATTCTATATTTAACAGCCATATTATTATTTTTCATAAAAACTGAAATTCCCCTAAAAACATTTTCCACCAATTAATTTCATGCAGTAAGAAATTTAATGAAATATTGCGTAACAGTGTATGGATAATGGTGCTGATCACTATTTTCACGACTTTACAATTTTGAATTAAATTTCAGACTGATGATACTGACGAATGTTTGATTAAAAAAAGGACAAGATGATAAGTTTCAGTAGGTTAGGATGGGAGTCCAGACATTGACCAAGAGTATAAAAGCGTGTTACATCGGTACTTCAAACGTAACTTACACAACGACTGATTGAAATGGACGCCCTGGTTCGGAGTTGTTTGCTGTATGATTTTAAATTGGGCCTGTCAACAGTAGAATCAAACTTATAATGCGTGGAATACAAAACTTATTGAAAAAAATTGCAAATAATTACTAATTGTCCCAAAATTGAGCATTTTAAATTTAGATGAGAAATTTTTTCTTCTAGTTTGTTTTATTAATCATTTGATCATGAAGAAATTCCTGAGTTTCTCATACCTCGTAGTTGATAATGTTTTCGATGTTGATTTAGTAAAAAAAAAAAAAAAAAAAAAAAAAAAAAAAAAAACTCTTTGAAAGATTACTGTTTATAATTTATACCAGGGAAAATAATTCTCATGTTTCTTAGCACTGAAGAACCATTCATATCTATTTTTATGAAATCTTAACTTTACAATTTTATACTTGGTTTTAGAAACGGAATTCCAAAAAAATAAGCTGAATTTAACGCTGAATTTATTTCAAAATTAAAGGCTGATGCCTTCTTCATTTATAATAGAAATATAAACTTAAGCGACGCATAAAATGTATTGGATAATAATGATTCGTAAGCCATAGCATTCTACTAATATGCGTTGGTTAGACTTATGGGGAAAAAAGAAATTACATCTGATATAAACTGTTATATCTGGCATAATCTAAAGATGTAAACTAATAATTTTTGTATCTAGAGAAGTGGATTTTATTTATGACTTGATTTAAAGCATATAACATACAAATCATAAATACCTGTTTGTAGTTCTGTAGAAATATACGTATCTACCAGGTATTTGGGGGAAAAACTAAACGATTAAATATCTCACGAACAACTGGTATA